TTAAATTATGTACCCATTAAATAAATTGCTATGTTAAATCATTTACAGCGGTAGCAACTAGTTTAGTTTAGTTTATCATCTATAATAAAGTTGTGTATTATTTAATAACTGGTTTGAGTATAAATACACGTGGCAACTCAATTTTAAAGTACAAACTTTAACCTCGTAATTAAGAATTACCATGAAGAAAAAGGGGTTGGATATATGCCAGAAATTTCTACATGGTCAGTGGGAAAATATTACTACAAATGAGATCATCGTAAAACCAATCAGGTAATTTTACAGGCATTTGTACAATGCTTACTCCGTCTTCCATTAACTAGTTTATTAATTTAATTTAAATAATTACTTATTTAAAAAGTAAAAAATTCAATTATGAAAGTATATTTTTAAAAATTAATTAACTATAGTATTTATGAGTAAATTTGTTTATTAGCGGTGGTTATAGTAACCAAATATATTACTGTTCACTGCCTGAGGGTCGGGAACCGGTGGTCAATGAACCGAAACATGTGTTGTTGAGAATGTATGGCATCGGGACTACAATCCCGGGCGACGACTATAAGGTAACCGATAGTCTCATAACATTACTATTGTCTGAACGGGGTTTGGGTCCCAAACTCTATGGCGTATTCCCCGGCGGACGGCTCGAGGAGTTTATACCCGTAAGTAAAACATCGCACGTAATATATGTTTAATTATGTTGCACTTATTTAAATGCTTTACAATTATTGCAACTATAACTTTCTATACTTAATAACTTAACAATATATATATTTTATTTTTAATAATGATTTTAAATAATTATAATAAAACAAAAATAATAATTTATTTTAACTACTTGTGCCCAAAAACAACGCAGTCTCGAGCACTGGTGCCACAGGAGCTCAAAAACAGGGAATATGTGGGCAGAATAGCTAAAAACTTTGCCCGAATCCACACATTGGATGTGCCCATAAACAAAAAACTTGACTATCTATTCACCACAATGGAAAAATGGCTAAAGACTGTGCCCATACCTACGGGCGCCGACACACCCGCCCAACAGTACCCGAACCCCGAGTTGGAGCGGGAAGTAGTCGGCTATAACTATCGCCGTGAACTACAATGGCTGAGGCGAGTGCTACCCGAGTGCGGGTCACCCGTAGTGTTCGCACACAACGACTTATCGCCGGGAAATGTACTCATATGTGATGACCCCCTGGCCTATGGGGGCGGCGATGGCCTACTCGTCATTGACTACGAGTGGGCCGCCTATAACTACCGGGGCTTTGACTTCGCCACACATTTCATTGAAAATCAATACGATTTCTCTGTTGCCGATTATCCGTACTTTAGGGTAGACTTTGACGCCTATCCGACCGATGAGGAGAAGCGACACTTTATGTGCCATTATATCAAACATTCACCCGATTTGAGCGCCGGGAGGGAAACGGAGGACCAGTTGATTCGTGAGGCCGACTATTACTCAGTGGCGGCGCATCTGTTTTGGGCCCTTTGGTCCGTGAGTCAGATCCGGGCATCAAATATGCAATTTTGTAATTGGGTTAGTGGTTAAAAATAATTGACCATGGTTGGTGGATTGATATTAAATCTAGTTTGTTTGTTGATCTGTAGGATAACTCAAAGGCTAGACTGGGCATGTATGAAAAACAAAAAGCTTGGTTAACACAGACATACGATATACAGTGCGATGAGTAAAATAAATTTCAACAATGTTTTTAAAAAATTATCTTTAGATCTAATCTAATATTTAAATTTTAAATAAATGTATTAAAATAATTGAACAAGTACAAACATTTGTATATAAATTTATTTTAATTATTTTTTGCTAATTATTTATATTTATATTATTCTTATTAATATACAGTAATGGGTTTATTAAATAAATATAATAATACTTGATCAATAAAAATTTCATTATTTTAATGACAACAAATTGTTATTAAAATCCAGTTTATTGACAAATATTATTTATTCAAGAAAAATAAATACGAATATTAAAATGAGTAATCAAATAATTTGCAATTGTTATTGAATTAATTTAGCAAAATATAAATTAATGTTTGGCATAGAGTTTCAGTTAGTGTTGAATTAAATTGATTGATATTTAAAGACCCTGTTCACTCAAGATGCTCACTCAGCATAACTATTTAGAAGCCTAGCTTTAGTAATTGTATATTTTTGATTATACTTATGTTAGCTATTAAATTATTGTTGTAAAGCAGTATTATTTAAAATTATATTAATTATAATTATTATATAACGAATGGTTAATTATGTTTTCAAAAATATTTCATAAATTATTTTTCACATTGTGTTTAGCCGTCTGTTTGTATCAAATTATAACAATAAGTCAAATATATTTCTCATACAAAACCACAACAACTGTTATTTATGATAGATTTTCAATGATTTCACTGCCGGCAATCACTGCATGTTTTGATAAAATACATGTTTATAAAGGCAAAAACATAAATGTAACAAATAAAACTATAACAAACAAAAATAATGAATTTTGCGATCAATTGGCAAACTATACAATTAGACAACAGTTTGAGATGTTTTATAATTATAGCGATATTTTTAATTCTTGTTTAGTTATAAAACCAAATATTTATCACAATAACAAACGTATGAATTATTCTCAAAATAATTACAATTATTTATACGATTATTATGCAGACTGTCAAGAAATCGGTGATATTATCCCATCAATTAATTATCATGAGTATATAACTCACTCACTCTCTCTCTCTCTCTCTCTCTCTTTCTGGATATTGAATTAATTGTTTTTTATACGTATTTATAATCAATTGATCCCTCGGATGGAGAACTACACGAAATTTTGGGTTTTGTAATAGTATTTCAATGGAAAATATATCAGCGATATAAAATAATTTATAATATATGTTTGAAAACATTATTATTATATGATATTAATTATGACCACAATTCAACTTAACTATATTCAATATAAACACAAATTATATTTTTAAAAACTCAAACAAATTAATTACAATGAGTAAATATATTTAATTTTCTCTCTCTCTCTCTCAATTAATTAATTATTTCTAATTTCTTAATACAGACTGTGTTTTACATTTTTCTCTCAACTAAAGGGCAAATCCGATAAATATTTTGAGATCAATAATAACATTGCATTTTACGATTATATCGCTGATATATTTTCCATTGAAATACTATTACAAAACCCAAAATTTCGTGTAGTTCTCCATCCGAGGGATCAATTGATTATAAATACGTATAAAAAACAATTAATTCAATATCCAGAAAGAGATGTCAACAATAAAGCAAATAATTTCTATTATATTTACAACAAAGTAATCGTCAATTCATTGCCCAAACCATACGAAACCGATTGCTTTGATTACAACACTATTGGCTATAAATCTCTCACCCATTGTATAGATATGTGTCGAATTGAAAGCAATCTAAAACAATGGCAAAACCAATGGCCCGGAAATTACTTGATATACAATAAAACTTTTGAAATGAAAATATCTGATATTTGGACAATATATACAGCGAATGTTAGTCTCGACGCAATGTTAAGCAACAAATGTCACAAATATTGCGGCGATAAAGTCGAGTGTAAACAAGAAATATTTAAACTTAAAACACAACGATTTTATTATGATTTTGGTAAATTTTATCTCATGTTATTCCCGCCGACAACACCCGACCTAATCCATAGCCATTCGCCAAAAATACTGTTTGAAGAGTTTGTCTCATATATTGCTTCGTATATCAGTCTATGGTTTGGTTTCTCTATTATAATGCTATCAAATGTTTTGCGCAAATGTTTGATTTATTTTTACTTAAAAATTAATTTATTTCTAATTAATTTTAAGCAAGTTGTTATAAATACAAGTTGTTGTAAACAACAAATTAATGTTGTCACAAACAATATTATACTTCAACCTAGACTTAATAGAGTTTCGCCCAAACTTGTAATCACAGATTATTAATAATATCATAATAAATAACACATACTTGCAATTGATTACTAAATATAATTTGCTTAAATGTTGTTTAACAAAAACAAATATGTAAATTAGTTTTACAAATAATTATTAATATTTTTTAAATTTAATCAATATTAGAAAATCTTATTACTATAAATAAATGTAAACATGTTTGTTTTAAACTTGGTTATTTTAATAGGTTGATTAAAATTGTTTCTTATTACGGTGAGTAATATTTTTCCAATAAAGATAACTTACAAAAAGTTCCACTGTAAAGTATATAGTTTACCATTTATATACTTGATTCTGATCAATTTGATGTATAAATCATTAAAATCTGACAAGTAGATTTTAAATGGAACACATTTGAAACATGAAATTTCCCACATGTTATGACCTCTATTTTCCCAAATACGTTATTTATGAGTAAATTGCTGAGACACGTATAAAATTATTTTTTATTGTGAACATTTTGGTGTATATATTGTTTATATTAAAAAAGGTTTTTCGCAACTTTTTTGAATTTAACATTACGGTCTATGGAGACTTAGTGCCACTTTGACATAAAATTACTAATATAACCAGGCACATTTGATAAAAATTTTCAATTTACTATTTTGTCTTCACATATCTGGGTATAAGGCTCCGAAGTCGATTTACCGATTGCTCAATTGGTCTAGGTGCTACAGGCCCAAATCACTGGGAGATAGTGGTAAATTCGGTTGTATGTTCCATTCAAATACTATTACAAAACGCAAATATTTGTGTAGTTCTTTATCAGAGGGATCAATTGATTAGAAATACATTCAAATCACACTTATTTGTATATCCAGATAGAGTTGTCAACAATAAAACAATGAATTATTATTTAATTTATAACAAAGTGATCATCAATTCATTGCCCAAACCATACGAAACCGATTGCTTTGATTACAACACTATTGGCTATAAATCTCTAACACATTGTATAGATATGTGTAAAATAGAAGTTGATTTAAAACATTAGGGAAACCAATGGCCCGGAAATTATTTGACATATAATTAAAAACTTGAAATGAAAATGTCAAACATGTGGACAATTCATACGGAAAATGTAAGTTTGGACGCAATTGTCAGCAAAATATGTTACAATTATTGCGGAGATAAAGTCGAATGCAGACAAGAAATATATAAACTCAATGCACACAAATATTCATTTGATCTTGATAAATTTTATCTTATGTTATACGCCCCCAACACACCCGAACTAATCCATAGCCATTCGCCAAAAATACTGTTTGAAGAGCTTGTCTCATATATTGCTTCGTATATCAGTCTATGGTTTGGTTTCTCTATTATAATGCTATCAAATGTTTTGCATAAAAGTTTAATTTATTTTTATTTAAAAATGAATTTTATGTGCAATATATTTAACTATAATAGTAATATTAATGTCTCTAATAATCAGATTATAATTTAATTACATTCAACTAATGCAAATCTGCCGGTAATTATTCATCATGATATTTATAGAGTTATCAACACAAATAATTCTAATGTTACTTGAAATAGCTTACCTTAATTAAATTAAATATTAATTAATTAAAATAATAATTAAAATAATAAATTTAAGCATAATTTTACAAACAAGAAGGTGATTAACAAACAAATACATAGTATTTAATATTTAATTCTTAGATTAAGCATACAACATTTGTTTGTATTCATATAGAGTTTAGCTAAATCAATAAAAAAAATCAATTTATTTAATAAAAATTTATTGACATAAAAGAGATGATAAATAAACAAAACGAAATTAATTTTTAAATTCACAAAATTATTTGCAAATGTATTTTATTTGTTATTTTTAGTGATATTTTTATTGAATAAAGTATAAGTTTAAGAAATAATTTAACATTTTGTTACATTACTGTAATTAATTTGTTTGAGTTTTTAAAAATATAATTTGTGTTTATATTGAATATAGTTAAGTTGAATTGTGGTCATAATTAATATCATATAATAATAATGTTTTCAAACATATATTATAAATTATTTTTTACATTGTGTTTAGGCGTCTGTTTGTATCAAATCATAACAATATGTGAAATATATTTCTCATACAAAACCACAACAAGTGTTACTTACGATCGGTTTTCAGTCATTTCTTTGCCGGCAATCACTATATGTTTTGATAAATTATCTCTTTTCAAAGACAAATATATTAATTATATGACAAATAAAAGCAAAATTAAATCAAATAATGAATTATCTGATAATTTGAAAAATTATACAATTAAACAACAATTTGAAATGTTTTATACCTTTGAACAAGTGTTCAATAATTGTTATGTAATTAAACCAAATGCTTATAAAAATGATGACGAATATAAATTGTTTGATAATCGTGATATGTTTTATACAAAATGCCATAAAATCAGTAAAATTAAAACATCAATTAATTACAATGAGTAAATATATTTAATTTTCTCTCTCTTTCTCTAAATATTAATAATTATTTCAATTTCTTAATACAGACTGTGTTTTACATTATTCTCGCACCAAAAGGGAAAATCTGATAAATATTTTCAAATTTATAATAACATTGCATTCAATGATTGGATAATAGATATATTTTTTGTTGAAATAATGTTAGAAAAATCAAAGTTTCGTTTAGCTCTACATTCGAGGAAAGAATTAATTAACTTTAGAAATGAATTTAAGACTAAATTTATTGAATATCCAGAGAGAGATGTTAACAATAAGACAATGGATTACTATTATGTTTACAACAAAATGATAATCAATTCATTGCCCAAACCATACGAAACCGATTGCATTGATTACAACACTATTGGCTATAAATCTCTCACCCATTGTATAGATATGTGTAAAATTGAAAACCATTTAAAAGATTGGAAAAACTTATGGCCCGGAAATTATTTGGCATACAATCGGATACTTGACATTAAAATGTTAGACATGGTTTCAATCTATAATCAAAACCTGAGTTTAGACAATAGTTTAAGCAATAAATGTCAGAAAATTTGCGGAGAAAAAGTCGAGTGTAAACAAGAATTATTTCAACTTAATGTCCGGAAATTTTCATTTGATTTTGGTAAATTTTATTTAATTTTACATGGTCCCACAACACCCGACCTAATCCATAGCCATTCGCCAAAAATACTGTTTGAAGAGTTTGTCTCATATATTGCTTCGTATATCAGTCTATGGTTTGGTTTCTCTATTATTATGCTATCAAATGTTTTGCACAAATGTTTGATTTATTTTTACACCAAAACTAAATTATATTATATTAAATATAATAATCGCAATAAACTTAATATTCAGCAAATTATGATCAATGCAAATAACATTGTTTTGCCTACAATTAATGATCGTTTATCACATAGAGTTGTTGTCACACATACTTGATATTAATTACAAATATAATTTATTTAAATAATGTCTGACAAAAATAAATATGTAAATTAATTTTATAAATAATCTTTTTAAATTTAATCTACATATAATTATTTACGCACATATACCTCACACACGTCTATTGTGTTTGAACATGGATCTTTATTATAACCTAGTAGTGGTGGCCGTTCGGGTATACGTCAAACAGTGATTACTTGATAGAATAATTACAAACATGATTTTGTTTTCTATGATTGTGCTGTTATGTAGAGAATTGAATTTTAATGAAAAATTTACAAAATAAACAATATTAAAAAATTTTGTTTTATGTAAAGATATTTCTTTAAAAAATGTATTCTAAAGTAAAAACTTTTATTGTGCACTATAAACAGTATATTAAACTCTAAACTAACTTAGTAATTGTATTATTAACAAGTGTACTGTTATTGATTGTATTTACATAATGAAAATGTAAAAGTTGTTTGTTCTTGATAATAAAAAGCAGATACCAACAATATACTGTATATTTTCCTAATAATGTAATATAATGTAATGTAACTGTAGAAGTATACAAAAGGATATTTTTGAATATTTTAAATATAAGTCCCTAGATGATAGTATGTGTATCATTTATGCGTTTTATTTATGCCAACTGTGCTAAATAAAAACTAATATCCTTCAAAGTACCATTGTTTAGTAAATTGTGTTGAAATCATAACAAACAGATAATTACTATAACAGTAATAATACATAATAATCAAGCGCAAAATCTAAATAGACGTGTTACTTGATTGAACATGATGCAACCAACAATACTATTATGATAAAATCGAGTATAAATACTCGTAGAACAATTATTTATATTTATAGTTTTAAATAAACTTAATTACAATGGAGCAAAAGGCTCTAGATATATGCAAGAGATATATTGCCGGTGAATGGGAAAATATCACCACTGATGAGATTGTCGTAAAACAACTCAGGTAAATTTATATATTTTTACATTGTTATTTATAATCATTAATTAATTAGTAAAATATATTTTTATTAGAAAACAGAATATTTATTAAAAAGATAATTAAAACTATTTTATTAATAATTTAGCTACAAATTTATTAAAGATTACAAATTATTTAAGCTGGTTATTTAATTAATTTTATTTATTTATTAGTGGCGGTTATAACAATCAAATATATTACTGTTCACTACCGGAGGGTCGGGAGCCGGTGGACAATGAGCCGAAACATTTATTACTACGGCTCTACGGCATCGGGACTACAATCCCGGGCGACGACTATAAGGTTACCGATAGTCTCATAACATTACTATTGTCTGAACGGGGTTTGGGTCCCAAACTCTATGGCGTATTCCCCGGCGGCCGACTCGAGGAGTTTATACCCGTATGTAATTCACTGCATATTTTATTATTAATTTAGTAAATACTCGTATTTCAATTATAGCATTTATTAGTTAAATTTATAAGTAAAATATTTTAAAGTTAAAACAATTGATTTAATTTTTAAAAATTAATTATAAATAAAAATACTGTACTACATAATTTCTACCCAAACCCTTATATTAAACAAAAAGTCTCGGCCAATGACAAGCCTAGAGCTCAAGGACAGGGAACTAATGGCCAAAATTGCCAAAAAGTTGGCCGCAATCCACACAATGGATGTACCCATAGATAAACAAACAGATTCGTTATTCACCACGATGGAAAAATGGGTGCAAACAGTACACACACCCATCGGTGCGGACGCACCCGCACAACGATACCCGCGCCCCGAACTGGAGAGGGAAATGACAACATATGACTATCGCCGGGAACTACAATGGCTGAGACGAGTGCTACCCGAGTGCGTGTCACCCGTAGTGTTCGCACACAACGATTTGGGGCCGGGTAATGTGCTCATTTGTGACAACCCCCAGGCCTATGGGGGCGACGGCCTGTTGCTCATAGACTATGAGTGGGCCGCCTATACCTGTCGGGGCTATGACTTTGCCAAACATTTCACTGAACACCTGTACGACTATTCAGAGCCCGATTACCCGTACTGTAGGGTAGACTTTGACGCCTATCCGACCGATGAGGAGAAGCGACACTTTTTCCGCCATTATATCAAACATTCACCCGATTTGAGCGCCGGGAAGGAAACGGAGGACCAATTGATCCGTGAGGCCGACTATTACTCTTTGGCTCCGCATCTGATTGAGTCCCTTTGGGCACTACGACAGGCGCGTACATCGCAACAGGCTTTTGGTTTTTGGGTTTGCTTTACAATTAATTTACCCTAGGGTTCCAATTGATTATTGATCTTGTTTATTTGTTAGGAGAACTCGAAGGCTAGATTGATGGCGTATGAAAAACATAAAGCATGGTTAATTAAAACTTATGGTATACTCAATGAGTGATTTTAATTGCCATTATGTTTTTGGCGTAATTTTAAGAATTTTATAAATAAGGATT